CGCTTTGATATTAAAGGATACAGGCTACAGCGTGTGCCGGCACCTTTGTGCGTGCAATTGAAGAGCATGCGCTTCGAGCACAGTACCGTTTTCGCACTCGTTTGTCTCATGCCTGGCGCTGAAGTGGAGCGCGCGTCTGAAATGTCTCCCGTTCTCAGTCGTTCTGCGACTGAATAAATGCACTTCTTGTCAAGAGAAAAAGTGACAGAAGCAGTAGTTGTGAGTGGGGTGGCCAGCCCTAGCCCCGCCCCTGCATTAATTGCATTAAATATTTTTAACAAATAAAAAAAATCTGAAAAAATTAATCGCCTGCGTTATCGTGCTAATTTTTGTCCTTTGATTAATAGACATCACAGCAGCTGGTTATTAGGTTGTTTTGGCTGTTATTATTTTAAGAGCTGCCACTGCTGAATGTGACGCGGATCTGACACGCATCATATTTTCCCTCATCTCTTTTTACCTTTTCTGACACACTTCAGGTCTTTATATATATATATATATATATATATACTTATTTATTTATCATCTCTGAGCTGGCAAGATGTGCCATAAACAGCAGGATTTCAGAGCCATTTAATTGGTAATATGGCCTGCTCATAATCACATTTGGTTGTGGAAATATTCACACACACGCACAAACAAGCAGACAGTATAATTGTGATTATGATAACTGTTTTAGAACAAGAAATGAACTCATAAATTGGAGTGAACCTAGTTTCACCTTCCTAACAGAATACACACAAGGCTGTTAGTGACAACCTGTTGCAGCAGTGACTCTAGATGGACAAACCAAAGCCCATGAAATATTAATAAGCACTCAGATAGACCCCAAAATTCAAGACTGTGTAATCCATTGGGCCCCTTAGAGCTTGTGGAGCAGAATACTTCAAGAATTTGGCCGTCAGAAAGTGACAAGAAATGTGAAAGAACAAGAGGCATGAAGAGCAGCGTCTCTTCCAGGAGCGAATCTACAATTTCAGCCCTCAGGGGTCACAGCCTCTCACTCAGTATGAGATGTTGTAGTTTGACATTTCTTATTTTAAGTATGCAAGGTGACAAGTTCAAATCTTGGTTGACTGATCATTTTTGTCAGAAAATGTATATTAGTAACTGGATTTTTTTTTTTGGCTGCGTGTTATTTTGTGATTTAGACGACACATTCAGAAATGACCATACATCCAATAAAAAAATTAAAAAAAAAATAAAATAAAAGAATACATTGTTAGCATACATTATATAAAATAATATATTTTATAAAATATACACTTCCGTTCAAAAGTTCAGGGTCAGTAAGACTTTTAAAAAACATTTTTATATTCTTATGCTCACTGAGGCTACTTTCATGTAATCAAAACAGTAATATTGTGAAATAATATAATTTCAAGTTTTGTTTTTTTTATTGTAACTTAAAATGCAATTTATTCATATGATGACACAATTACATTTTTAGGAGCCATTACACCAATTTCCAGTGTCACATGACCCTTAACCCTTTGGGGCACCTGACACGCCTGCACTTTTCTTGTTTTTTTAAGACATATTCTAGCAGTCAGCATCAAGTGTCATATATCATTATAAACAGGAGAAAATGTGATGACGACGTAATCACGTACACTATGGAGCCTCTGAATATCCAAATAAGACAAATGAGATATATCCGCTTGCTTTACAACACTTTTTAAAGCATTCAGATAGGATTAGCGGTTCAAAAGTTATTAAACATTTAAGAACAATAGTTATTTTTAGCCGCGGGCGGCTGTCTCAGTCTTTGAGGGTTCATCCTTAATATTTTTGTGTAAATTGGTACTTTTTTTTAATTAATAATGTTCAAAATACAGTATTTATTTATTTTTTAAATATTATTTGCCGTCACTTTTGATCAAAATAATGCATTGTTCCCGAATAAACATTTTTTCAAACATGAATAAATAAACAAACAAACAAGCAAAAGAGCTAACAGCGCCCAAACATTTGAATGATAGGGTATATTAAAGTATAATTTTCATTATATATTATATAAAATAATGCTAATTTTAAAATTCATCTGTTAATGTTGCTGCTTGACAGACAAAAAAAAAGTGACTGCATAGGCAAAAACAACAATAAATAAATGAAGACATTTATAATAGGAATTATGTGATTGCTAACTGCACATCTTTCAGCGTTAAAAGACTAAAATTACAAAGTTTGCCTCATTTTATATAAACACTAACAGAGATAAAAATCTAATTTAGTGAGAAATTTTAGTGCACTAAGATTAAATCTGTACCCCATAAACATAGCTTTTTCCAGAATTTTAAGAAAAACGCAAGCAACAATTGGGTGTTTTTTTACTGTGTACTCAAACACAAACCCATGAAGTTTGGATTTTTTTTTTTAGAAAGTTGTATCTGGGTGTTTTACATTTCCAAATAAAATTGTGTCTACATATAACATTCCCCAAGCAAGTTATAGCCATTTATTACAATATTGTTATAGGCGCTTTTCAGTG